TATAACCATAATATGAACGCAGAGGCCGAGCGTGACAAGTGGCTAGCGTGCTCGGACATGAATTCGAAGGTTCATGGATCGCGACACGTTGCTGCAAACGCGCTCCGCTCTCTGGGACCATGAGTGTGCTATAAGAGTTACGATCAAATCTCACTATTCGGCTTCACAACAGTAGTTCAAGAGATGGAGCTGAGTATTCTTGACTAGCTGCCTTCCCTCTAGATTCATTACAATGAATGGGTTCAAAGACAGTTTCCTTGGCGTATTTATAATAATGGAATGCTTAGTGGAATAGGAATAAAAAGTTATATTTTATGACATTTTCAGTTCCCAAGCCTAACGCCTATTACATAGCAGGCTGGGTGATATTCGTTTAGAGTAGATTTTAAATGCATAAGTCTTAGCAGTATCAAACAACTACGACTACTTGTATGTTGAATATTAATTTTTTTTTTATTCTAGTGATAATGTAAATTATTTCCATAAATGTATTTTCCTGCACCTTTTTTTTCGGTTATTAGGAATCAAGAATTAAATAATTCAAAACACAATCCACGTAACACTTGAATATATTTAAAGGTTTTTTTACTGTGGTCTAAATGATTTCTTTGGCTCCTAAATTAAGGTTTCGTTTTTATTTTTATTAAATTATTCGGAATGACGAAGACAGTTTCTGGCCTAAGAATCTTAATGACATTCCTCGTTACCATAATAATGATAAGAGTGGTCGGATCTTATCCAGTGCCGATTTGTTGCTTAGCATAGAGCTTTTTAAGATTGGGCAATATAACTGTTCAATCATCTTATTAAATTATATATAGAGAATAATTCCGGATTTTAGGAAACGAATATGTATGGCAATATTTAAAGTGGCTGAATACGTGCTATTAGTAGCAAAATATACAAGCACTGTAGAAATAATGAATATTTGTAAAATATGTAAAGTTATAAGTAGCAATTTCTAGACTAGCTACTCGCGCACTTTCCTCTTAGATGTCGCGCATTCTGCATGTTTTGTTTTTTCTCTTCTTCTTTTCCTAACACGTTTTGCATTCATTCTGAGTGGTCATGGCATGTCTGGTGAAAAATAATTATTATATGACAGAAGTCACTGACTTGACCTCACTGAAGATATATGTATGTATGTAACTAACGTGTTTTGTATGAATATTATAGGTAGATGCACTCACAAGTATCTTTGTAGCAATTAGTTTAGGCCCGTGATTCATTATTTTACTGTATACCTTACCCACCAATTTATTATATCAAATGTCAAACACCTAGCGGACGCAGCAGTTCGAAACCAGAATAACCTTTGAATCAGCTAATATCCCATGAACAAAAATGGTTACTGTTCAAGCGGGAATATTGTTGTGAACTTCTGAGAACTCGGGTGTCGCTTACAGTATGACACGTCTGTTGTTTTATTTATTTGTTTAAAGGCAGAATATCTTTTGGTTCTGCACGTAAAGTCTTTTTTTTTAGAACTGAAATTCTTCACTCTAATTCGGCTTTTATCATTTCAATGAAACCAAAAAACTACAGCAACAAAAAACAGTAAAAGATAAAAGCAGAGTTGAATTCACTTGCTTGATAATTTTAAGGTTCCGTTTTCAAGTGACATTATATTGTTTCTATGAATTCCTATTTTTCCTTGTATCTCCGGTGAGATATATATATATATCATCATGAAAAATTGCATATGCACATAAAGTGGTGGCATACACTTATACGAAGTAAACGCAACAATGTGCAGTTATAAAATAAACTCAAGAAGTTGAATTACATCCGGTGGTAAAATACCGAGTTAACCTACACGTCATATCTTGAAGTCAACGTGGAGTTTTTAATCACACTGTATAAGAATCAAATACCAATTAAATGCAGTGGCCCGTCGTTGCAGATACAAGCCTTGGCGCCAAGGGCAATATGCTTAGCACCTGTATTTGGTTTCCAGACACTTTCGTCCATTCGCTAGTGCAATTCTGCCATGGTTGACCCTATCACTGGAAGTTAAGTCACAGCCCTTTCTGACCAAAGATACCTGTAAAGCAATATAGGAAAAAGATACAAAGCCCGGGGCTAATCAACTTCAAAGACGGCTAACTATAACATAGTGAATAGTTCTGACAAAGCAAGATGGGCACAACCATATGTTAAACCACTTAAATAACATTCCACCACACACAAGGCTGCTGTCCCCATTTTCAAAGTTCGTAGACTGTTCATCCAGGAATTCTCAACCCACTCAGAAAGTAGCTGTAACAGTTGTACATCCAACTAAATATAAGACAACTCGCATAAACCACGAGTACGCATGCTGCTTACCAGATACGAAAATGCATAAAACTGTACAAAGAATACCTTGCAGGAAGAGGAACTTGGCTGCAACATAACTGTACAAAAAAAAAATACCTTGCAAGTGAAAGAAGGAAGTTTGTTATAGCACGACTATACGAAGAATACCTTGCAAGTAAGAGAAAGAAATTTGTTGCGATATAACTGTACAAAAAAAATACCTTGCAAGTGAAAGAAGGAAGTTTGTTATAGCACGATTATACAAAGAATACCTTGCAAGTAAGAGAAAGAAATTTGTTGCGATATAACTGTACAAAAAAGATATACCTTGCAAGTGAAAGAAGGAAGTTTATTATAGCACGACTATACAAAGAATACCTTGCAAGTAAGAGAAAGAAATTTGTTGCGACATAACTGTACAAAAAAAAATACCTTGCAAGTGAAAGAAGGAAGTTTGTTATAGCACGATTATACAAAGAATACCTTGCAAGTAAGAGAAAGCAATTTGTTGCGACATAACTGTACAAAAAAGATATACCTTGCAAGTGAAAGAAGGAAGTTTGTTATAGCACGATTATACAAAGAATACCTTGCATATAAGAGAAAGAAATTTGTTGCGACATAACTGTACAAAAAAGATATACCTTGCAAGTGAAAGAAGGAAGTTTGTTATAGCACGATTATACAAAGAATACCTTGCAAGTAAGAGAAAGAAATTTGTTGCGACATAACTGTACAAAAAGATATACCTTGCAAGTGAAAGAAGGAAGTTTGTTATAGCACGATTATACAAAGAATACCTTGCAAGTAAGAGAAAGAAATTTGTTATAGCACGATTATACAAAGAATACCTTGCAAGTGAAAGAAAGAAGTTTGTTATA